ATCCGAACATATTTAACTATCAATAATTAATCCCGATTAAAAATGTTCGTTTATAAAATAAACGGTTCGGAAATTAATTATCGAATTTGACTCGGTTAATAATTAACCGGATAAACTTTTCAACTTAACGACGAACTTATTTGCTGAAAATGAACGTAATTATTAAAAGATAATACATCATTTATATTAACAAGAAGTTGAGTTATTACAATCTACCCTCCTTAAAATATTTCCGTCCTCGGAAATATAAAACATAACATAAATATACATGAAAATATACATATCAAAACTGAAAGTCGGGAAAACGAGCGCGAATGTCAGCCTCCTGCTCCTAAGTGGCTCCGTGGCGATCCCACTGAATATGTACGAGGGGAACATCACGCTTCCGGAGCCGTCGAACCTGTCGGTCAAACACAGCTACATGTCGCTCCTCGTAAGATAAGTCTGGATGAATCTCAATATCAGTATGAGGAATGACATGATCGGGGTCGCACACGTACTTGCGTAACATAGATACATGAAAGACATTGTGAACACTGGATAGCTCGGGAGGTGAGGCTAAACGATACGCAACATCGCCCACTCGCTCGAGTACTTCGAACGGGCCAATAAACCGAGGGTGCAGCTTCCCTCTCTTCCCGAATCGAATAACTCCGCGAAATGTACTAACTCTGAGAAAAGCGTGCTCGCCAACCTCGAACTGAATATATCGTTGATGATGATCGACGGTTGATTTCATTCTACTCTGAGCTGTCCTGAGTCTCTGCCGAATCAACTCGACTTGCTCGTCTGTCTCCTCGATCAGCTTCGGATCGAGTACTCGACGTTCTCCGACGTCGTCCCAATAAAGAGGGGAACGACATTTACGACCGTATAGTTCCTCATAAGGAGCCATGTGAATAGAAGAGTGATAACTGTTGTTGTACGCGAACTCGACGTACGACAATAATGACTCCCATTTAGCACCCCTGTCAACAGTCAAAGCACGTAAAATATCCTCCAACGTCTGTATAGTCCGCTCCGTCTGTCCGTCAGTCTCGGGATGGTAGGCTGAACTGAAGGCTAGCTTCGTACCCATTGCCTCATGTAAACTCTTCCAGAATCTACTGGTGAATCTGGGGTCTCTGTCTGACACAACAGTAACAGGTACTCCATGGAGTCGAACGATCCCACGGACATAAATCTCAGCCAACCGATCCAAAGACATACTCATCGATACTGGCAAGAAGTGAGCAACCTTAGTCAATCTGTCGACCACGACCCAGATAGCGTCGTGATGTTCAGACGACCTCGGTAACCCCGTGACAAAATCCATCGCAACCTCCTCCCACTTTCACCTCGGAATCGGCAGTGGTCGTAGAAGGCCTATTGGACTCTTATGCTCGGCCTTGACTTGCTGACAGGTTAAACATCTTCTTACAAAATCGGCCATGGTACATGGTACATCTTTGTACTTCCTGGATGGGCTAGATTGGGTGCGGTATGAGCCTCAGATAAAATCTCCTTTTTCAATGCTTCGACTTTAGGCACCACAATCCTGCCACGAAACTCCAAGGCCCCATCAGTGCCTCGGTGAAAACCCTCGACGCCTCCGGCACGAACCTTGGCATCAATCGTACGAATAAACTCATCTGAAGCCTGCTCTTGCCGGATTCTCTCCCTCAGCGTCGACTGGACCTGCATGGAATTCACACTCCCCGTACTGGCAGTAGGAAGTGCATCAATCACCTGAATCCGCATCCGGGCGAACTCCTGAATTAACTGGCTCTGCTGGGTAACAACGTATGTCAAGTCACCCTTCACCTTGCGGCTTAGGGTATCAGCAACAACATTCGCCTTTCCCGGATGGTACTGGATCGTACAATCGTAATCCTTGACGAGCTCTAACCAACGGCGCTGCCTCATGTTGAGCTCCTTCTGAGTAAAGATATACTGCAAGCTCTTATGATCAGTAAAGATTTCGCATTGACCGCCGTATAGATAGTGTCGCCAAATCTTGAGGGCATGAACAACTGCAGCTAATTCCAAGTCGTGCGTCGGATAGTTCTGTTCATGTGTTTTAAGTTGGCGTGACGCATAAGCAACGACCTGGCCATCTTGCATAAGTACACATCCCAAACCCTGCCTCGAAGCATCACTATAGATGGTGAAGCTCCGAGAAGGATCTGGAATAGTCAACACTGGTGCCGTCGTAAGCCTCCTTTTCAGCTCCTGAAAACTCGACTCACAACGGTCTGTCCACTCGAACTTTACAGATTTCCTCGTCAGTTGAGACAAAGGGAGTGCAATCTTCGAGAACCCCTCGATAAATCTGCGATAATAACCTGCAAGGCCGAGGAAACTACGAACCTCGGACGAATTCTTCGGTGCTGACCAGTTTTGAACTGCGGCAATCTTGGAAGGATCAACTTCAATACCTGCTGAAGTAATAATGTGACCAAGAAAGGCCACTCGCTGAAGCCAAAATTCGCACTTGGAGAATTTTACATATAACTTCTCGCGTCTAAGGGTCGAAAGAATGGCCCTCAGGTGCATGTAATCGTGGTAGTCACTCGAGCCAAACCTTGTAATGAGCTCTTTTTCAAAATCCCTCCAACCCATATACTCACCATGGTTCTTGTGCATCACCCATTGCCACCATACGTTTGCTTCCCCATCAAGATGATAAGCAACAATTTGAACTCTCTCGTACCTTGGCACGTCATTGATCTCAAAAAATTGCACAGCCCGACTCAACCATGCGTCCGGATCTATCCCCGTGAACGTGGGCATGACAATTTTTGGTCGTGTACTTGCCCTTTCGTCCAATTGTTCATCGCGATCGTGGCATCCCTCGTGTCGCCGTGCGTCGCGCCGTCGGCCATCGCGATGTGGCCTCTGCTCGTCATGTGTCGCATGCGACGCGTACATTGCGTGCGATCGCCAGTCGTCGTCTTCCTCGCGCCTTCGGTCATGATGTGCGCGCCCATCGTGCCGTCGCCGATCGTCGTGGTGATGGTCCGCACGATGCGTGTGTGCCCCTCGATCGGCGATCGTCCTCATGCTCGGTCCCGGTGCTGGCCGCCGTGGACCTTGACCCATGACGCCTTTTTGGCCGCGTGTTCATACGCGTCAGCTGCCCGGCCAAGTCCTGGACCATAAGTTCGATCCTTCCCAAGTTCTCGTTGGTAGCATGTTGACCATCGCTAATGATCTTCATGTTGTCTTCCAACGCTTGAATTCTCTCACGGTTTGACATCATAATTTTTTTTTTTTTGACTCTAAAAATTCGAACAAAAATTCGAACCAAAATAAAAAATAAAACAAAGAGAATTTCGTCCCCTCAACAAAAAGTAATAACCAAAAAAAATCAAACAAAGGACTAACAAGATGACACTCTTTTTTTAAGACTTACGAAAAAATAATGAAAAATTCGAACAAAATTCGAAAATTTCGACTAAAAAATAGAAAAGAAATTCGACCCCTCAGCAAAAGGCAAACCGAAAAAAAGAAAAGGATAGGATAGATAAAAACATGATCAGCACCTCTCACTGAGAGCACCAATGATGACGAATCGTGTTTTTACCTATATTTTGGGTTGTGAATAAACGCGCACTAGGGCCTTCGTTTATCCACGATAGGTGTATCTAACAGACGCACTACGGCCTTCTCCTAGATACTGTGACTTCAAGATGCTCTAATGGCCTTCTCTCCGACACTGTATGTAAACACGCACTAACGGCCTTGTTTAAACACACGTAAGAACATAAGTTCCCCTCTCAATTGGCTCACCAGTTCAATACTCGATTCAAGATATGAAAATAATGATGAGGTACATGGGGTATTTATAGGTGCAAAAATAAATCTAAGCCTAACTATACTAGATCTCCTAAATCTTGCAATAATAGAAATCCTAACACTAGAAAGCAATAAAATCCTATTACTACCAAATAACTAATGCTTCGCTTGCACACCAAGCAATTCTAGAATGCTTCTAATCTTCACATGCTCAAAACTCTCGGCCGCCCTAATTTTTCCGCGCGTCGCACGCGTCTTGCGCACCGCCTCTCGTGCTTGACTAGTCCTCGGCGCCTTAGGACTTGCATGTCCGTATCGCACGCGCGCGCCTGCGCGCGCGCCCAGCGTCGCCGCCTTTCCTCTTGCGCGTGCCTACCAACGCCCCTTGCCTATGCCTACCGCGCCTAGGCATGCGCCCGCGCATTCCGTTCCCTCGCGCGCCTCCGCGCGCTTTGTGTCCCTGCCTACTGCCTTGCGCGCGTCCCAGCTATCGTCCATGCCCAAATCGCCTACGGCGCATCCGCCTGCACCCGTGCACCTACCAACCTCGCGCCCGCGTACTCCTCGCAAACCCCGCGTGCCCGGCTTGTTTGCCCACTCGTGCGCATCAAGGGCCGATGCGCACCTTTCGCATTTTAGCTCGCCCTTTTCACTAGCCTCGCAGGTGCTAACCTCCACTTTCGTATCATAAGCCTCGGCAGCGCCCAACAGCCTACCGAGTAACCAGTACTGCGAGAGTTGCACGATAGCACTCGCACGGTACCTAGTCATGCCCAGCCAGCGCCTGGGAGCGCAATCATGTGTTCAGCGGCACGTCGCGGTGTGCAGTAACACCCGACTGTGCGCAGTTGTGCGGTAGCCGATGCACATCGCGTTCGGTCACGCCAGTCGCCATCATATGCATCCAGCAGCGTCCAGTCGGGCCTTATTCATGCTCAGCCGCGGCCAGACGCCGCAGCACCATAGGCCAGGGCCTCGGCAGGCCCTACAGCCATCATGTTCACGCCCAACCAGCCAGCAGCCGCGCCCGCAGCCGCGGTAAGGCCGTGGGCCGATACAGCCGCTGACCTCCCGGCCACAGTAGGCCGCCGGTTCGGCAAGACCGGTTCAGATCCGGTTCAGACCGGTTTGGACCGGTAAGACCCAGATTTAATATTTAAGTCCTGATTTATGGTTTCAGTCCCATTTTCAGTCAAATTCCGGGTCCGGTTCAGTTCAGTAAATTCATGTCAGTTCAATTCCGATTTTTGTCGGTTCCGGTTATACCAGTTAAATCCGTAAATCATTTTTAAGTCTTATAGAGCATCTTTAACTTATTTAAAAAGTTATTTTATCAGTCTGAGCATAGTATTTAGTAATTGTTTATATTATTTTCAGTTTGATCAGGATAAGATTATCAGCACTGCCTTTTTATTCAGACGAATCAGGTGGGAACTCAGACTGGGTATTACATTGATTATAATTATTCTACCATGTTTGAGGTATGTATTATCAGTATCCGCTCGGAATGGTCGCCGGTCCATCTGGGTTCTAGTGGCCTTAGTCTGCCCACTAGAGTGTGCACATGGCGTCCGACATTAGTATTTTGCTGGCAGATGTTCAGGTATCAGGCAGGTGATAATATTATCTCACCATCAGTATCAGATCATGATTATTCAGTACCGGTTTCATGTTCATGTTCATGCCAGGATCATGTTATTGTAATTATTTTCCCTGTTTACTTTAGTATGAGTTTCCACGGAGCACAATGGACTTTAGTGCTCACGACCCACTTTTATCATGTTTTTCAGGTCATGGAGTCGGGCCGGAGGTGTGAGATGACAAGCGGTTCAAAACTTATGCATATAAAGTTTAAATTATGTGGAAGTTATGCTTATAAAGCTTAAATTACGTTTTGTACAGTTTAAATTTGGCATAGCAGTGCTATTGCTATCTCCTGTAGACTCATTTTCACGATCATAGCACTGCTATCCTATTTTGCCACTGCAGTTTCCGCTGACTTTTCACTGTTCGTCATTCTTAGTCCTTTTCGACGGTCAGCAGACTATGAGCTGTTTTCTTAAATCATTCTGAGTTAAAAGTAAGTCATGTATTATGGTAGCACTCCGAAACAGTATTTTGCAAACCAGTCAGTATTTTATTTAAAAAGGTTTGTATATACGCACTCTGATTTTCATGATAAGGCGGAGTGTTACAGCGAGAGAGGTAGTCCGCCGCAAGAAAAAAGAGGGATGGGGAAAGGGGGTCACCCTGTCTAAGGCCCCTAGAGGAGAGAAAAAAATCGGTGGGGCTACCATTAACAGGACCGAGAACGTGCAGTGCTCCACACATGTAACACCCCGGTAGCTTACTAAAATCAGAGTGCGATTTTTGCAAATCCTTTTTTTAAAGTTTACGTTTTATTTTGCGAAACATATATCGGGATGCAACATAAAAGATTTCTTTTCTAAAAATCCGTTAACTATAAACCCATTTATGAAAAAACGGATTATCATTATAAAACAAGCGTGTGATACTGTATAAAACTAGACCCGAAAGCTCGGATCGTTGTCTGAAAATTTACACGCTAGTTTGAAAGTCTGAAAACGTCAGTGGAAGTAAAACGTGGCAAATATATACATATCAACAGTCTGCAAAAATATATACATATTTACATGTACTGGACCGGCGACCACCAGCTCCACTCACTCCTCTGGACCGACCCTGTCTCCTGAAAAAGAATCATAATAGTTGGAGCATGAGTACTATAAACACTGTACTCCGCAGAAACTCATACTAAAGTAAACATCAATAATAATATCAATATCATGACTGCAGGTATATATATAAGTAAACTGTAAACTGTAAACTCCAGACACGAGGTCTGTAACTGAACTGAACCTCCTCGGACACTATGTCTGTCCATGTGCACATTCCGATGGCCTATTAAGGCTACTGCGACTCCACCGGAACTCGGGATGGCCTATTAAGGCTACTGCGCCTCCACCCAGAGTGGAATAACTCATATACATACCTTAAAAAAATGATAGATCAATTATAACCAATGTAATACCCAGTCTGAGTCCCCACCTGTACTGATAATGTTAGTGCTGCTGCTGATCACTCTGTAAAAATTATATAAATAAACAAATACTAAGTACTACGCTCAGACTGACTGAAAATAACTGTTAAGATGCTCGACTCGGTCTAAACATTTAACTGGAATATTCTCGGGACTTAACTTGACTGACAAGAAAAAACCAGACCGAACTGATACCGGTGTACTGGACTTACTAGACCGAAAAATTAACTGAAATACTGTACTGGACTCGAACCGGATCAGTAAATACTGAACAGTTCAAAAACCGGTCTAAACCGACCGGTTCATTTTCTGGCCGGACCGCCGGCTCGCTGCGGCCGGGCGGTTGGCCGCTGGCTGACCACCGGCACGGTCACTCGC